TTTTTGTATTTTTTAGTAGAAACAGGGTTTCTCCATTTTAGCCAGGCTGGTCTCGAACTCCTGACCTCAGGTGATCCACCTACCTCGGCCTCCCAAAGTGCTGGGATTACAGGTGTGAGCCACTGCACCTGGCAGCAAGATGTTTTGAAAAAGACAATTACTAACTCCTGAAAACACAAAATACTGTATTAGAAAGCCCAATAACTGGCTAAGCAGTGAAGAAGTCAACGACATTTAGTCATATTATTAGCAGTGAATATTAACCAAAAACTATGAGATGGAGGGAAAAGGATGAGGAGTAATTAAGCCAAATCCTTATCAGTGATAATGAGAAGTCAATAAATAAAATTTATTTAAATCTAAAACTTATTACGCCATAGACAGCCATATAAAAATATTACTTAGAAGCACATAATCAATACCCAAGGAAAAGACTACAGAAATTGGTGGGGCAAGGTACAGATCACTGCTGTTTTTTCCTTTAAGTCTTTTTATCATTATGTCTACGAACACATATCATTTTGATAAATTTATTTTTCTTTTGAGGCAGGGTCTTGCTCTGTCACTCAGGTTGGAGTGCAGTCGCAAAATCACTGTTTTTGCAGCCCTGACCTCCCAGGCTCAAGTGATCTTCCCACCTCAGCCTTCTGAGTGGCTGGGAGTACAGGTATACACCACCACACCCGGCTAATTTTTTTTTTTTTTTTTTTTTTGAGACGGAGTCTCACTCTGTTGCCCAGCCTGGAGTGCAGTGATGTGATCTCGGCTGACTGCAACCTCTGCCTCCCAGGTTCAAGTGATTCTCCTGCCTCAGCCTTCCAAGTAGCTGGAGCCACAGGTGCCCACTGCTGGCTAATCTTTGTATTTTTAGTAGAGACAGGGTTTCACTGTGTTGGCCCGGCTGGTCTTGATCTCCTGACTCCAAGTGATCCACCTGCCTCAGCCTTCCAAAGTGCTGGGATTATAGGTGTGAGCCACCATGGCTCGCCACCAGCTAATTTTTTTTAAAAAATTTTTGTCCAGATGGGGTCTCAATATGTTGTCCAGGCTGGTCTTGAACTCCTGGCCTCAAGTGATCCTCCCACCTCCGCTTCCCAAAGTGCTGGGATTACAGGCCTGAGCGACTGTGCCTGGCCTTGATGAATTTTTTAAAAGTAACAGGTATATATGGGCTTTGGAGGTTAGCAAAATATTTGCAGTATGAAAAAGATACTTTTGGCCAGGCGTGGTGGCTCACGCCTGTAATCCCAGCACTTTGGGAGGCTGAGGCAGGCAGATCACCTGAGGTCAGGAGTTCGAGACCAGCTTCAACATGGAGAAACCTCATCTCTACTAAAAATACAAAATTAGCTGGGTGTGGTGGTGCATGCCTGTAATCCCAGCTACTTGGGAGGCTGAGGCAGGAGAATTGCTTGAACCTGGGAGGCGGAGGTTGCTGTGAGCTGAGATCACGCCATTGCACTCTAGCCTGGGCAACAAGAGCGAAACTCTGTCTCAAAAAAAAAAAAAAGAAAGAAAAAGATACTTTTGGTCAGCACCTGAGCTCATTCCTGTCATCTCAGCACTTTGAGAGGTGGGAGGATTGCTTGAGGCCAGGAGTTTGAGACCAGCCTAGGCAACATAGCGAATGAGTGGACCCGGTCACTCATGCCTGTAATCCCAGCACTCTGGGAGGCTGAAGCAGGCAGATCACTTGAGGTCAGGAGTTTTAGACCAACGTGGCCAATATGGTGAAACCCCTTCTCTATTAAAAACACAAAACTTAGGCAGGTGTGGTAGTGCACACCTGTAGTCCCAGAAACTCAGGAGGCTGAGGCAGAAGAATCGTGTGAACCCAGGAGGAAGAGATTGCAGTGAGCCAAGATCATGCCACTACACTCCAGCCGGGGCAATAGAGACTCCGACTCAGAAAATAAAATAAAATTAAATTAAAATTAAATTAAATTAAAAATATATAGGCCAGGCACAGTGGCTCACAGCTGTAATTCCAGCACTTTGGGAGGCCAAGGTAGGAGGATCGCTTGAGGCCAGTAGTTCAAGACCAGCCTGCTAATAAACACAGCAAGACCTTGCCTCTACAAAAAAAAAAAAAAAAAACAAATTTAATTAGCCAAGCATAGTACACACCTATAGTCCCAGCTACTCAGGAGGCTGAGATGGGATGACCCCTTGAGCTCAAGAGTTCAAGGTTACAGTGGGCTATGATCATACCACTGCATACCAGCCTTAGACAGGGTGATAGAGTAAGACTCTGTCTCTTAAAAATAAGAAAAAATAAATAAATAAATAAATAAAAGAAATAAATATAAGAGAAAAAGATACTTTTGTTTTTTAAATATGATAGGTAACCCCTCTCTGTGCCCCTTCAGCACTTTTGGCATACCAGATATGCCACAGCTCTATTACAATGCATTGTGATATTAATATATGATAAATTAGACCATACTATAATTACTGGCTAACATGTTTGTCTCCCTACCAGATTATAAACTTTCAAGCATGTCTTGTTCATCTCTGTATCTCAATACAAAGCATACAGCAGAAATCAATAAATATTTGTTGCAAGGCTAACAAAATTGTTAAGATCCTGCAAAACAGAATCACATATAAAGGTCTAGGGTAGGCCTTAAGAAAGAATCCAGCCAGGCCAGGAGTGGTGGCTCATGCCTGTAATCCCAGCACTTCAGGAGGCTTAGGCAAGTGGATCACTTGAGGTCAGGAGTTTGAAACCAGCCTGACCAACATGGTGAAACCCCATCACGTCTAAAAATACAAAAAATTAGCCAGGCGTGGTGGTGGGCACCTGTAATCCCAGCTACTTGGGAGGCTGAGGCAGGAGAATCGCTTGAATCTGGGAGGTGGAGGTTTCAGTGAGCCGAGATCACGCCACCATACTCCAGCCTGGGCGATAGAGTGAGACGCTGTCTCAAAAAAAGAAAAAAAAGAATCCAGCCAAACTCCCGTTTTCAGAGATGGAAACAGAGTCTCAGAAACACTAAGTGACTTGTCTGGGCATGGTGGTTCATGCCTGTAATCCCAACACTTTGAGAGGCCAAGGTGAGAGGATCATTTGAACATAGCGAGACCCCGTCTCTACAAAAAAAATTTAAAAGTAGCCAAGCATGGTGGTGTACAGCTGGAGTCCTAGTTACTTGGGAGGCAGAGGTGAAAAGATTGCATAAGTCCAGGAGTTCAAGGCTGCAATGAACAATGATTACACCACTATACTCCAGCCTGTGTGAGAGAGAGACTTTGTCTCTTTTAAAAAAAACATGTTAGCCTGGCATAGTTGGTAGGCTGAGGTGAGAGGATCACCTGAGCCCAGGGAGGTCAAGGCTACAGTGAACTGTGATAGCACCACTGCACTCCAGCCTGGGCAACAGAGTGAGACCCTGTCTCAAAACATACTAAAAATAAAAATAAAAGGAAACACTAAGTGACTTATTCAAGTTATCTAACTAACTAATGACTATGGTAGTATAAAAACTCGGACACTCTGGCATTTGATTCATTGCCCTTCACACTACAACACTGATGAGAGAAAAATAACAGTTCAAATTATATTCTTTTTTCCAAGAAATACCCAGATTTTTGCTTCATATTGAAAACATATGGTAGGACCTGTCCAACTGTATACTATATCCTGAAATTCAGATTTTTTTGACTGGTAAAGATAACCATAATATTCTCAACTTAAAATTATCAAGTTGACTTATCTTGCTGGAATTAAAACCAAAGGCAAAGAAAGAAGAAAAAAATACAGAACATTTAACAAAATAATTCTACAAATATTTTTAACTATACAAGGGAAAACAACTAACTTGGTGACTTAAAATATGTCCATTTCAAATTCTGTGCATATGTTTAGGAAAAAGTTTTTTTTTTTTAAAAAAAGCAGAGTCTCGCTCTATTGCCCAGGCTGGAGTGCCATGGTGCTATCTTGGCTCACTGCAACCTCTGCCTCCTGGGTTCAAGTGATTCTCCTGCCTTGGCCTCCTGAGTAGCTGGGATTACAGGCACCTACCACCACACCCAGCTAATTTTTGTATTTTTAGTAGAGACAGGGTTTCACCATGTTGGCCAGGCTGGTCTTGAACTCCCAACCTCAAGTGATCCGCCTGCCTTGGCCTCCCAAAGTGCTGGGATTACAGGCATAAGCCACCACACCTGACTGCTTAGGAAAATCTTTAAATATGATATTAGGAAGTATTAAAGTATTAGATTATAAATTATCCTGGCCTAAAAAGATTATTTTATTAGACTGCTGAAATATGCCAATTTGATGATGTACTTTGAGTATTTTCCCTCTAAAATATCTACCCCATGTCAATTAAGACTTTTTAATATTGGAAAACAGTTAAACCAAATACTACTAACTCACTTCACATATTAATATATAATTTCAGGCTGGGAACAGTGGCTCACACCTGTAATCCCAGCACTTGGGAAGCTAAGCAGGAGGATCACTTGAGGTCAGCAGTTCAAGACCGGCCTGGGGAACATAATGAGACCCCCCCCAATCTCTATAAACATTTAATTAAACAAATAAAATACATGTGTGTATATATATGATTTTACCTACCAATCTTGTTATGAAAATATTTACCATTCAAGTTAAAGACATACTCACAAAACATTACATATTTACACATATTTTATAAACATTTCCTCCACTTAACACCAAGCAAGATAAAAATACAATAAACTTAATGCTCTTTATTTAATTATAGTATTACTTATGTCACAGAAGAATTTTTTTAATTTACTGTTAGTTCTTTCATTCAACAAACATTTATTATGCATATGTTCTAGATACTACTTTAGGTTCTGGAATAAAATAAATAGGCAAAGTTCCTAGGACTGTTTTCAACATTGTATTCTCAGCCTCTAGCACTTACTAAGCTCTTAAATATATGTTGATGATCTCCCAAGTCACAGAATCGCTTTTTCTAACAAAAGGAAATTTCACTCAAAAAATAACAATCAACTTTGTTACATACCACTGATGTTAAGGTCATAATCTCCTGCTGTAATCACATTAGCTACTAATCCTTCTGCAGGTTGACTGCCAGAAACAACATCATTCAAAAGCTTCCGGATGGCTCCAGGCTGAGGTGGCTGGGTGACAATGTTGCTTACTGCTATCTTCAAATTTTTAATTACGTGAAGTTGATTATTAGGATCTCTCATATGAACTTTAAAGAAAAAAAGAAAAAAACTTGAAATTAATTCTATACAATGCATAATAACCCAAAATTGGGCTAATGGTTTACAAACAAAAAGGATGTACAAAGCAGAAGCCAGGAATTCCAAGTGGAACATTCTTCCAGAAATATAAATGGTTGACAACATTCCCTCATATACCAAAAGGGCTAGCTAGACAGTTTATTAACCGCAGGATTCCTTCCCCTCTCACCACTGCTCAGCTTTCCTACTGTAGGTCCTTTCCTTTCCTACTATGTTTGGAGTCGCCAGAAACCAACCACTTTCCAGACCACTTCTCTAATTCTCACCTCACACTAAAGCTGGTCCAAGGCAGCATAAGACCTGTGGTATTAACACTAAAAGCAGTAAAAGGAAAAAGAAAGGGGAGTTAAATGTTGCACTTAGGTTTCCTTCTGCTTTCCCTAGTCAGCCTGCATTCTTAGCCTCTTTTTCACTCTCATAAAAATCAATGGCCACTCCAGTGCACGATGCTGTGGTGGAGGCTGTGCATGTGCAGGGGCAAGAGATATGTAGAAACTCTCTGTACTTTCAGCTCAAATTGGTCATTCATCTAAAACTGTTAAAAAATAGAGTCTACTTAAAAAAAACTCTGGCCAGGTGCGGTGGCTCATGCCTATAATCACCAGCACTTTGGGAGGCCGAGACAGATAGCTTGAAGTCAGGAGATGGAGACCGGCCTAGCCAACATGACAAAACCCTGTCTCTACTAAAAATACAAAAAATTAGCTGGGTATGGTGGTGGTAGCCTGTAATCCCAGCTACTCAGGAGGCTGAGGCAGGAGAATTGCTTGAACCCGGGAGGCGGAGGTTGCAGCGAGCCAAGACTGCACCACTGCACCGTAGCTTGGGTGACAGAGACTCGGTCTCAAAAACAAAAAATTGTCCAGATCCCTTTTACCACCCTAATACTTCCTGCCTCCACCGTGCTATAGTCCTTGCTTCAGCCTACACAATTTATAACCAGTAAGTAGTTCAGAGCTTCAGGACAGGGAACAGGTTCTGAGGCACAGCAAGAAGACAGTGTCGTCCACAGAACCAGAACAAAATGTAAGCATATTTTTTCTTTTTTGTTTGTTTGTTTTTTTTTTGAGAGAGTCTCGCTCTGTCGCCCAGGCTGGAGTGCAGTGGCGCGATCTCGGCTCACTGCAAGCTCCGCCTCCCGGGTTCACGCCATTCTCCTGCCTCAGCCTCCTGAGTAGCTGGGACTACAGGCGCCCGCCACCGCGCCCGGCTAATTTTTTGTATTTTTAGTAGAGACGGGGTTTCACCGTGGTCTCGATCTCCTGACCTTGTGATCCGCCCGCCTCGGCCTCCCAAAGTGCTGGGATTACAGGCGTGAGCCACCGCGCCCGGCCAGCATATTTTTTCACATAATCAGACAAAATGTTCCACAGTAGCATTAAAAGCAGTCCATTACAGGGCTGGGCACAGTGGCTCACACCTGTAATCCCAGCACTTTGGGAGGTCAAGGTGGGTGGATCACCTGAGGTCAGGAGTTCAAGACCAGCCCAGCCAACACAGTGAAACCTCGTCTCTACAAAAATACAAAAATTAGCCAGGCATGGTGGCGGGTGCCTGTAATCGCAGCTACTGGGGAGGCTGAGGCAGGAGAATCACTTGAACGAGGAGGTTGCAGTGAGCCAAGATTGCACCACTGCATTCCAGCCTGGGCGACAGAGTGAGACGTCTCAAAAAAAAAAAAAAAAGTAATCCATTATAACAATTGAGCACCTAGCTTTTGGAGTTGGACCTTAATTTAAATCCCAACCCACTACTTATCAACTGGGTTACCCTGAACAACTTAACTCTTCTGTGCTTCAAATTCCTCACCTGCACATGTGATTACTATCTACAGGATCATTTTAGGGATTTGGGTGAGCTATTAGATAGTAATTGTAAAGCACTAAGCACCACACTCAAAAATATGTAATGGAGGCAGTATAGCAGCAGCAGCAGATACATCACCCATTCAACTGCATCACGGGTCATCATATACAAATAAGAGGCAAATAAGAGGCAACTTTGGGTAAGTGGTCTGGGTACCTACAAATAAAGAATGACTTTCTTCTCAATGGAAAATGCCTTATACCAAAATCGAGGCCTGCCTGTATTTTAAATAAAGTTATATCCACACAGACTTTTCTAAATTTCCTATGTGTTCTATTGATTTCTAACATTTTTTACTTAAAAAAAAAAAAGACTCAAAAACATTTTTAAAATACTGTATGTGGTACAAATGTGTATTTATATTGTAAATATAAATATATATACAAAAAAATATACAAGCAGCCAGGCACGGTGGCTCACTGTTGTAATCCCAGCACTTTGGGAGGCTGAGGCGGGCAGATCACTTGAGGTCAGGAGTTCGAGACCAGCCTGGCCAACATGGTGAAACCCTGTCTCTACTAAAAGTACAAAATTAGCCGGGCATAGTGGCGGGCGCCTGTAATCCCAGCTACTCTGGAGGCTGAGGCAGGAGAATCGCTTGAACCCAGGAGGCGGGGGTTGCAGTGAGCAGAGACCAGGCCATTGCACTCCAGCCTGGGCAAAAAGAGCAAAACTCTGTCTCAAAAAAAATAAATAAATAACAAAATAAAGTTGCTTCATAATTGTCAAATAACATAAGTAGCCATATGTATATTAAACTTCGCTTTAACTACCTTTTGGTATTCATAAGTGTTAACACAGGAAAAAAATTTTAATTAGAAAAAAAGTATTAACACAAAAGGATATTCTAGTTTTGCCCTATATTCAAGGTGGCTTTATCAGTTACTAGGTAATTCTGTGTAACCAAAAGAAGACAGAAAAAACAATGGTATTTCACTTCTGAGATAAGTTTTAAAAGCCTACGGCTTCCATCTTGGGTTCTCTCTTAATTATTTGTTTTGGGAGAAGCCAACTGCCACACTATGGGAACATTCAGGGAGCTTATAACTGAGTGAGAAAACTGAGATTTCAGGCTAATAGCCAGTGAGAAACTGAGGCTTGCCAACAACCATACTAGTGAGCTTGGAAAAAGAACTCCAGCCTCAGATGACTGTAGCCCCTGCTGACAGCTCTACTGCAACCTCATGAGAGACCCTGAACTGGAGCTACCCAGCTAAGCCACTCCCAGATTCCAGAGGAAGTGAGAAATAATAAATGCTTTTGATTTAAGGTACACATTTTTGGGGTAATTTGTTACACAACAGATAAGTTACACTGGGATATCAGAAACCCAATCTAATGAAGCAAGAGCAAAGAATGATCTAAGAGAAATGTGAAATGCTCTTAAGTCAGACACAAAAAATTCAAAAGTCTCAGGTAAATATATTTAGACTTCACTGAATTTATTTATCATATAACATCTCAATTTCAAACTGAAATTCAGCTCTACTGTTACATTTTTAAGTTCTTAAATACTGTATTTTAATACTGTATTTTGAAGTTATACTTCCCAGAATTTTCCATGGAATACTGGTTCCTTAAGAAAAGTAAAGAATGTTTCTGAATGATTCTATGTTCAAATAAATTTGAGAAATAGTGGATTAAGTCTTTAAAGGTCTCTTTATAACAGGTCTTTCCAGAGTCCTTAATTGCTAAACCATACTGTAATACTCCCAAACACATGCTACCTTAAGCAAACTTATTTCACCACAAAAATCTTTTTCAAGGGAGCACCTAAAACATCTGGTGTTTGTTTGATAAAAAGTATTTGGGGGCCACACATGGTGGCTCAAAACTCATGCCTGTAATCCTAACACTTTGCAAGGCTGAGGCAGGAGGATCATTTGAGCCCAGGAGTTCAAGACCAGCCTGGGCGACATAGCAAGACCTAGCCTCTATAAAAATAAACAAACAGGCTGGGTACGGGGCTCACGCCTGTAATTCCAGCACTTTGGGAGGCCGAGCCGGGCGGATCGTGAATGAGGTCAGGAGATTGAGACCATCCTGATTAACATACTGAAACCCCGCCTCTACTAAAAATACAAAAAATTAGCCAGGCATGGTGGCGGGCGCCTGTAGTCCCAGCTACTCTGGAGGCTGAGGCAGGACAATGGCGTGAACCCAGGAGGCAGAGCTTGCAGTGAGCCCAGATCGCGCCACTGTACTCCAGCCTGGGCGACAAGGTGAGACTCCGTCTCAAAAGATTAAATAAAAAAAAAATAAACAAACAGGCTGGGCATGGTGGCTCACACCTGTAATCACAGCACTTTGGGAGGTCGAGGCAGTTGGATCACAAGGTCAGGAGTTCAAGACCAGCCTGGCCCATATGGTGAAACCCCATCTCTACTAAAAATACAAAACTAGCCAGGAGTCGTGGTACATGCCTATAATCCCAGCTACTCGGGAGTCTGATGCAAACGAATTGCTTGAATCTAGGAGGCAGAGGTTGCAGTGAGCAGATTGCGCCATTGCACTGCAGACTAGGGCAACAAGAGTGAAACTCTGTCTCAAAATAAATAAATAAATAAATAAATAAACAAGCAAGCAAGCAAGCAAGCCAGGTGTGATGGCATGTGTCTGTAGTCCCAGCTACTCAGGAGGCTGAGGCAGAAGAATCACTTGAACTCGGGAGGCAGAGGTTGCAGAGAGCTGAGATCACATCACTGCACTCCAGCCTGGGCAACAGAGCAAGGCTCAGTCTCAAAAATAAATAAATAAATAAATAAAATGTATTTTGAAAATAATGATACCTTTTATGCTTTTACCCAGCATATAAAACTTTATAAAGACAACAGGCTAGGCCAGGCGCAATGGCTCACACCTGTAATCCCAACACTTTGGGAGGCCTTGGCGGGCGGATCACCTGAGGTCGGGAGTTCGAGACCAGCCTGACCAACACAGACAAACCCCGTCTCTACTAAAAATACAAAATTAGCCAGGCGTGGTGGCGCATGCCTGTAATCCAGCTACTCGGGAGGCTGAGGCAGAATTGCTTGAACCTGGGAAGCAGAGGTTGTGGTGAGCCGAGATCACGCCATTGTAC